GACTTTGACTTTCCTCCGGGAGCAGAGTTACTCATCCCATTTTCCAGGGAGTAGTCGGATAGGTTAGGTGATGCGATGATATCGTCCACCGAGTCGGTGGGTGAGTATCGATCATGGTTCTCCCAGGACTGAGAGGTAGCTCCCTTGTATGAGCCATGGGCGACAGGCTTTCCGTATGATCCTGAAGCAGGACGGGCGCTGTATGATGGAGCAGCGGGATAGGTTGACTCGGGTCGCGACATATGGCCGCCAGTACCAATGGGCAGACCGCCAGCTAGGTTATAGTTGCTTGCTGAGTAGTTGACACTTGAAGCGGCCGATGTTACTAATGATTCCGAGCTGGTATTGTTCCGAGAAGTACCATACCTTTGTGCTGAGTAAAAGCCATTGTCGAAACTGCCATGTACCGAGGGATCGGTAAATGAGCTACTGGTGAATTAGCCAACCATGATCCTTTCATACGTACAGAGACGGTCAGCAGAGGGGGAGGGGAAGGAATTCTATCTCACCTGCGAGCTGCATTCCAGGGACTGTTGGACATTGTTGAAGACTTGTAGGCATGATCTGGTTGTGCCATAGTGTACTGGCTCATCATTGTAAAAACCGCAAATAAGTGTTAATTTGGATGAGACCTGACGAGACTTGCGGCTGATAAAGAAAGAATCCACCGGCGTGAAGAAGCAACAGAATGGATCCACGTTCCCAAGTCCACGCCTTGGGTTCCAATTAAAAAAAAAAAGAGAACAAGACAGACTACCGGTAAACCGATGTTAATGGAGATGAACAGCGGACAGCTTGTACACTATGATGGGTCCCTTTGGGTCTTGAGGGGTCCCTTGGGCAGTGAATGATCCTGGACCTGGGTTCCTTTTCTTCCAAAAGACAGGCTGGGCTGGGCTAAGTCTCTTCTCCAGGGTCATCCACGACGGTTGACTAGGGTTTCCTTTTTTTTTTTTTTTTTTGATGGTGATGAAATTCCCTGAGTCCTGGGTCCTGGATTCTGGGTCCTCCTGCTGGGCTGGACTAGGTTGGCGGCTGTACAGTAGAACGTATGTAGGCGGTGTGACCTTTGTGACCTGTGGTCTGTGGTAAGGTATGTATGGATGTGGTCCAGGCAGATGGATCACGCTGAGATGGCCGTTTCCAGGAAGAGCAGGAAAAAAAGAAACTAGGTAAACTTCGCGGAATAATAGTGAAGAAGCACTAAGACAGTAGTGCAAGATCCTTGGAGGCGCTTCTGAGCGAACCAGTTGCAGGTGAAGCTGTTGAACAAGCTGATCTGAACCGAACTGGTATAGAATTGAAAGAGAATCTGGAGGAGTGAAGCTCGGAATGGGGATGATTTATGTTCGTCCGTGAGGCTGCAAGGGATCAAGGTAAGGTACAGACAGAGACGGGGGCGACGCATGTCATGAAGCGAAACCCTTGTCGCGAGGGATGGATGGCGATGGAAAAAAGCGATGCCCCATTCACTAGTGAGTGACTTGGTTAGTCTAGTCAGTCGAGTTGAGTAGTGAGTAGCCTGTAGTAGTGCGCTGTAGTGGTAGGTAGGCTAGTAGGCAGTGGGCAGTGACAGGGACCAGGCGTGAAGCAAGTCAGTGATGAGATGGCCCAAAATCAATCCTCTTTCTGCTAAGATTTGCAGTAGAATTCGCCCCAGAATCCCATTCCTTTAACGTTTTGGAGGGTGTCAATCCGGCGCTTCGGAGGTTGGTTGCGTACCTGAGGAGAGAGAGTCAATTTAATTGATATCGGCAAATATCTTGACTTTTTGGATGGCGCAAGCAGCCTAACTGCGAAGCGAAAATAACCCACGAGCGAACCCTGTCTCTGATCCAAAGCCAACAAAGCCAGGGTCGGTGACGTCCTGTGTGCCCAGTTTGAGTCGTAGCCATTAACCATTAACCAACATTCAGTATGAAATACCTTACCTATCCCACGACGATACCTACTGGACATATTGTGTAGCCAGAGAACCGAGTGGAGAGTGGAGAGGTATCGTCAGTGGGAGTACTGATACTGAGTGCCGGGTTACCCCAGAGTGCCTAACAAAGTAAACCCAAAAAGTCACTGCCTCGGCCGTGACAAATTGAGAGTGACTGGGTGACCGAGTACATTGGCATTGGGCGCTCAAGCATTGTTGCCCAAGCAAGCGAGGCGCGTTGGCATCCATCCAACACTGGCTGATCTCATCCATGAGAGATTGACAGAGCAGAGTGAGTGCTGTGCTGTACTGTACTGTACTGTATGTACGTACGAACAGGGTAGTACCTGGAACCGTTGAGAAGCGGTCAATCGATATCAACCAACAATGGGACTCTATAGACGTTTAGAGACTAACGTTCAGGTAACTAAAACGTCCAGGTCAGGCACCAAGGCATGTTGTCTTGCGTATGTAAGTGAACCCGACAGGGCTTCGATTGATGCCCACTGACCACCTCTATCTTGAATCACGGGACGGGAGCCCGAGCGACAATGGGCAATGGATGGTTGGGTACTGGCTTTTGAGTTTGTTTGGGCTCCGTTCCTTGTTTGTTGTTGCTGCTCAGGATACTGATACTGTAGCCACACATACACAACTTGACCCCCACCAACTCATCGATTAATTGACTGTCAGCAGACCACCCTCAGCAAGGCGGAATTGTCGAGTCTGGGGGTTGACTGTTATACCAGTAACGGGACGTTTTGTGATTGGGTCTGAGTTGTTAATGATAGAGGAACGATATGAACAAAGGCTGACAGCATTTGACGAACTGCGGTTATCATGGACCATCATCATCAGTTACATCCATTGCCTGTCTTTGATTATTGGGTAAATGCCATCTCGCTCAGCGGATTACTCTGTGCCTTCGTGCAAGAACAAGAAGCCCTCCTCGATTTGGAAATGGGCGACACAATGGTCTGACGCTGATGCAAACGCCAATAATCTACAACGTCAATAGTTACTCCACCAGCCCTGTCGTGGCCCTCGAGGCTCGTGGCATCTCTCGGCAGCTGGCAACGGGACGAAGAAAGGGTCTGCCCGCCTCAACCGGCCGAGTTCAGCTGTGTTGATTGTGAGGCGGATGTACGTGTGTACATAGTACTATGTATCAAGTCTGTGGATCAAAGATATCGGATAAATTCTCGGTTCTGGAGTCGACAGCCGGACAACTTCAAAGGCTGAGAGGCTAGATATTGACCGCCTCGTGGACGGCGGCATCTGCTCACATCGATTCCCCATATTCCATTAGCCGAAGCAGGGCTGTCCACTGGAAAGATGCCAGATCACTAGTTACCATGACATGGGCAAATGCATGTGACCCGATCTGCGGAACCCAAGCCAAATGTTCCATGTCAATTCAATTGTCGCTTGTTTGATTGACATGGAGGAGATGAGGTGGCACAGCCGAAGTGTACGACGATGCCTTTTATCATGCCGACTCTCCTCAGCCACTCATAATAACCTTATTCTTTCGACGAGTCGGTAAATTCTCTTCTTCTTTCTTATTTTCCTTGGCTTTGCTCAAAACACTCACACCCACTCACCCGTGTCCCTGCCTCGCAATCGCTCGCCTCGCTGCTGATTAGTATCACCATAGCCTCGATCAGGATCTCGGCCCATCCGCTCGAACTAGCTCAGCTTTGATAAAAGACATGCTTTGTTCAGCTTGCCTTCCCAGTCACCGGTAGGCCACCGAATTCCTCAATCTTTTTCTGGATACGATATGGTGAGCTTCGATTGTTTCACCCATCGTCCTCGACACCCTGGACTCATCTAGCCCTAGGTCTTCAACACGAGGTTCACCAGCCTCTCTTATTCCAGAATCTCAGGTAATTTCAGGACACGAGACAACCTCCCTTGCTGAGAAGACAAACTGCGTCATTGTCTCTCCTATCTAAGGCTGAACAAGACCGTGTCTCGCGCCGCCGCTTACTAGCACGTGGTCCATGGCTGAAAGAACACGAGCTATTCTTTCGGTAGCAGGCGTTCGTCAACGCAGTCCCCCCTGTTGACATCTGGAAAGGCCCAAAATAGACATCGATCCCCACACTCTGTCCACTAACAGTTGAGCGACAGACACTTTAACAGTCAGCTCCGAGAGGCGGGCCCCCACACCGACGCCTCAACCGCTCCGCTCCGAGTTGGAGATTCGGCCGCTTTCGGTATCGCGAGAACCTCCTTTGCTATTTCGTGGTACGAGACAACGAAAAGAGCAACTGCCAATTGGGGGTGATTGGCTTGTATAGAGAATCGCCTCCTTTCAGGGGGTGTCGAATCGCTTCCGCGTTAGTCCATGCCACTGGGTCGCATGCTGAGCATGATATCCTCATCTTCGTGTTTATTTCCAACGGCCAACCGCTATCCAAAAGATTGAGCCAACATTGTGATCTTGCCCCTGTGGCGATGAGGCTACGGTTTGAAATAGCTGTCGCCGTGCGTATTATATGTGACGTAGCAGCTTCTCAAGGACGTAAATTGTAGGTCCACCGGAAAAACGAGACATTTTATTCCAGCCCATTTTCTCTGCAGGCGGCCGACTTTTCTCTGAGTATGGCCTCACTGATCTCATCAACCCCGGGCAGAAATGAAGCCTCTACGGGTTTTGTGAACAAGCCCCCGCCACTGGGGACCTAGCGAGTCATGGGGCTAAGAGAATCAGTGATATTTGATTGGGTAGAGACCCTGCAGCCTTCGTCTAGGAAAACGAGCTTTGCTCCCTTGAAATCTATTTGGGGATATCCCGCCTACTGGCGTGGATTGTATCGGGCAAAGGCTGGTCCTCAATACGAAGGAATTCTTGAATTGCCTGCCTCTGTTTTCTTTGGACCGTGTCAGCCGTGCTTCAAGACTACGCTTCTCGTGGAATATTTCCTCTCGACTGCCCCCAAGTCATTGGCGAGGCGTCTGGTGATGTACGGAGCCTACATTAGCAACATGTAAACGAAGCCACTGTTGTCCATAATCAGTCCCAGAAAAGATATACCGCATAGCCACTGAGGAATGCCAAGATAACATCATGGCGCCGCCAAAGGACAAAGAACGAAAGAGAAAGTTTCATCGGAGAAGCAAAAACGGATGCACTCGATGCAAGGCCAGGCATGTGAGGTGCGACGAGCAAAAGCCGCTTTGGTATGTTAAACTTCCGGTCTTACTCGTGGAACAATCGATACTTTCCCCTCGTTTTCTTGTCGTTGCTGCAAGGCTACGCGAGGCTCCCGCGTGGAATAGACGAGCTTTGCATGAGGCTCCGGTCGGTTGAGTCGTAAGCCTTGTAGGACTGACTAACAAATATTGCCAACACAGCACCAATTGCCTTCAGACGGGAAGTGAATGCATATATCCGACTCCAGAACAACCACTCCCATCCAATGATTCGTCACCTTCGCCATCATCGTCGTCCAGCAATGTTGCTCTGGGGAGCTTTGGGTCCCAAATGGCACTTACCGAGTCAACGGCACCGGCATCGCCAGGGATGAGCAATGCCCTCAATAACTACGTCGGAGGCTCCTTCGATGCTCTTCCGGAGCACTCCAAACGCCTTCTGCGACATTGTAAGTCACTTTGCTGAGAGAAATACTCGTCCCACAGGGTTAACGTCTTGTACTAGTTTCACAGTACACGGTTTGGGGTTCGAGACCTGTTGCTCGGGAGCTGGAATCTTCAGCGTGCGTCAACCTGGTCGTTGGGTCGATATGACCTGTTAAACACATTGAACTGACAGCCTGCTAGAATACAAAAATCGTTCGAGAACCCTGGCTACATGCACATGTGCCTCATGCTATCAGCGTGTCAGTGGGCATGGGTTACCGGTTCGATGGACGAGGTCAGGATCCCATTCCTGTACCATAAAGCAGCAACCTATCAATTCGCGAGAGAGCAGCTCCAGAGTCCTGAATTGGCACAGAGCGGAGACACTATGTTGGCTATATCTGCGCTTGCGCTGACTGAGGTATGGATATCCTTTGTTAACGTCCGACCCACTAGTCAATCGTCACTAACAATCTGTGATCAAGGGCGCGATAGGAGAACTGGACGCCTCCTCAAGACACTTGAAGGGTATACAATCTGCAGTGAAGGAGTGGAATAGGGTTGTCGATCCAGTGCCGACGTTGCCCCAGAGAATGCTCAAGATGTTAGTTCTATTGGAGGATCATAGCGCTAACAATGATGTTTGCTGACATTTGTTCAGGGTCGGAGAAGGACTACGAACCGGAAAAGCAGGCCAGCTCGTGAACGTGCCCGAATACCAACCAACCTTTATGGCTCTCCTATTTGCGTCGATATGGGATATCACAGCGCTGCCGCCACGCGAAGCTCCGAGATATGGCTGGTGGGAAGATCTCGAAACCCCAGCGGCCAGACTTTGGCAAAATCATACCAGAGACCTCAACCTCAACTATGAGATTTCAAGAGGTTTCAGCGCGAGTCAATATGTACCACGAATCTTGAACGGCGACCCTAAAAGTAGCCGAACAAGTTTCATAGCGACCTTCTTCTATCTTTGTTCTGAGCTGGGCGACAGATACTTCGATGTAACCATGATCGACTGGCTCCTTGAACAACTCATAGACGATGTTAATGCAGGCGAAGAACATCTAAGGATGAGTGAATGGACACAGTCACTCTGGTTATTTTGCGTACTGTTTGGTGCGTCCATAGCATTCACTGGCCGGGCCAATAATGTAATCGAAGAAAGACAACTGAGCAAATGGCGAGGCGTTTACGGCGACAAAATGAAACTGGCCAGTCGAGAGCTGGGAATCAAAAGCTGGCAGTCAGCCCGGGCGATGCTGGCTGAAGTGGTGGGAGGGATAGACGGCGAATTAGAAAAGGGTCTAGAGGAGTTATGGAACGAGGGGATATCAGGAGAGACATCGGGCGAGAGCAGTGCAAGTCCAGCAGTAGTAGAGCTGTCAGAATCCGACTAAGCCATGCTTCGTCACCTCGACTGAGTTGGCGTCTGACTGCTTGAAAATAGAGTGGGAGCAAGCTAGGTGATGTGTGGATGCGAGCTATCACATAATTTTGGTGTTGGCACATCGTGGTTCAAGGCCAATGAGAAGGGTCGATGAGATATCCGGAAGATAGACATCGGCTGGGCTGACGGTAGAATGCGAGGTCATCAACTCATAGAATACATAGAGTTTTCCGTGGAGGAAGAGATGAAATTCAGATGGGTACCTTAGGTAGGTACCTAGTGTTCAACAACAACAAAGCTGAGACGGTTTCACTATCACGTGGAGTGGCGGGCCGCTTCCCGCTTTCTCCTTTCCTTCCATTGTTCCTTCTAGCAACTTTCCCAGGTAGGAAATACGGGGAATGGACGGGGTGGAGGGAAAGGAAGGCACGGAACGGCGCTCCCGTTGAAGAAGGGAAGGAAGTACGGTACTGTACGGTAAACTCAAAATCGCGGGTGGCTCGGACTTCCATATCAGGGCCCATCAATCAAACATCAACAACGCATCGAATCGAGATGATTTTGCCTGAACTTCGTCTCCTTTCTATGCTCACCTGCGTCAGTCAGTATCGGCAGACGCCGGCCTGGTCAGTGTTTCCAGCGACAATGCCTCTTCACCAACCATTTCTGGGACTGGGCCATCTTATGACTTGATTGTTTGGGCTTGTCGTCTCGCCATCTTCTCTCATTCTGCCATCGCGCCTCAGCCGCCTGATTTTGTATTTGCATGTGCATTTGACACACTCTTGACCGCAGTTGTGTGTCATGTATGCATGCCACGAGCGATTCGCTGGCCCATTTCGTAGCCCGCTCTCATCATTCTAACGGACATCAAAGGCCTACTAAAAACAGACCAAGGCCTACCCCGCCTGTTGCGGTCTGCTACATGAGCAATCACAGGACGTAGATAAAGCACCTGGGTGATAAGCGGCGTGCTCGGTGTGCCGTCTGTTGCATATTGGCTCACAGGATGTGGCCTGGTTGGCAATGGTTGCTTTGTATAATCCACCCATGCTGACTTGGCCGCAGGACTTGAGAGTAAAGGAGGGTCACTTCTGACAATAGAGCAGCGGGCCACGGCCACAAAGACATGGCCAAACTCTGACAGAGACGAGAATGACAGAGTTTCTCGTTAACTCGCGACTTGTAAATCCTCGAGACTGTGGTGGAAGTGATCGTCAGGAGCCTGGCTCTGAGATACTTTGCGGTCCAATACGGAGGCCGCTGTGCCCGACACTAGTTTTCATCCCAAGGACAAATGCCTCAATGATCAGCCTCAGTAATTAATCGTTCGCAACACAGGCGAAATGACCATCTGGACGCAATCTCGGCCAACCTCTCATTTTCTCTCCCGTCGACCATGTTTCCTCACATCTTTTCGCAACGCATCCGTGTCCAACTTGGTTTTGCGCTCACGCAGATGCAGTGATGCGTTGTCCAACAGCCATTATCCCTTCCTCTCATAGGTTGATGCTAGGTGATAGGATAACGGACCAGGCCTTATCTCCACCCTGACCCATCCTAAATCAGGGAAGTTAACCAGTCGCTCGTCGCTTTGGCCCATCCCTTCTGTGCTGATCCTTGCAATAGTCCAACACACCGGTTTCTGCACTCTGAAATCACAAACGCCAACTCACTCCTGCGACCAGACAATGGCCGCGTTTTGCGGCAGTTACATGGATAGTGGAACCCTGTCGTGTTAGCAGGTCAGGCTTCTATGACAATAAAACCCGCAGGATCCCTCGTTGCCCAACTTCTCCCTTCTGTTCCTTAATTTTCCTGCCCAACTCTCGCCTCTTACTACCCAACCCACCACTCAGTCTCATCCTTCATAGACTACCAAGCCTTTCTTACCCTTCTTTCTCACACAACTATCAAAGTTTTCAATCTTCCACCTGGAATTGAAAGCAACCCAATCAGCCTAAGGATACATCCTGTCGCGCAACAACACCAACAACTCGACAGATTGCCATTGGCCTGAACGTGCAAGACAACGTCCTAACGTTGTTCTTTGCTGATCCACGAGCTCAATTTTGCTCTCCATTCCGAGGATACAATGACTGTTACTCTTGTGACACAGCCTGCTTCCATGCACGCTTTCAAGAACTCTGACCTCGATGAGGTTCACTCGTTGTCCAGGTACTGTTTTTCTTACTCTTCCCTGGGAGGCTCGCATTTGCTTTTTAAGTCATGTTGCTCGCAAATCATGTATACCGACAATCTTGCTTCACTCTATCCAAGGATACCAAGCCAGGAAAACTGTATCCAACTCTCGACCCAAGGATATGTCCCGGAACTCTTCTCTGGATCTCAAAGGACCTTGATATATCCATGGATGATCACGACAACAAGCCCCTGGACTCAATTTGACTGGATCTGTCCGCCCGGACATGAAACAATAATATTATATACTGGCCATGAGCCTCGTGAGTATTGCCCGCTTTCAAATTGAATCAGCAGCTCTTCGCCTGGAGGTCAAACCTGGACTTTTCATGGACCACAAGGATTTCTCTTCCGGATATCAGGAGTCGACCCAAGGACAATGGACCCTTTCTTCTGATCTCGTTTTCTGGATATGGACCTTTCATATGCGGATTGTATTTCGACAGGACATCACGACCCATAGACTTTCGCCTGGACTCTGCTCCTTCTGTACCGCTTAGCGGTGTTAGACATCAAGGTAGCATCTGGCTTAATGGCCTGCAATCCAATTTGATTGCTTCGTGCAGCCGCACTGGACTTCCATTCATGGACACCAATTATGTTTTCCACTGGACGTTCTCTGCCGGACCACAATGGTTACCGAGGATCTCATTGTTCTGCTCAATCGACACTGGAATCTCAACATCGACAATACATGATGCTATACCAACTTGTTTTTCTGCGAATACTTAGATTGATGGACTGGACTTGACGACAACAGATTCAACATTCCCAACCTGCCAATGGAACACTGCCGGATTCGATGTGATTTGATTACGTATTGACGACCTTGCCTGGCTACAACAATGATCCATGGATGGCCCGACCCACAGGATTTCGACAGAATGCAAGATCTAATCCTAGGCTATGCTTCACACTGTCATACTTGGTCTGTAAACTAATGCCACATGAAGATTGTCTCGAATGCTAACCTAGTAACAGATTCAAAGTTGATTCCGAGTTATGACTTCAGTCTTGTTTCTTGCTGTTTTATTTTTGCTTTTCTCTGTTTTTACATTGCGACGAACGGGACACTGACCCTTCCCCAGCGATTATAGCTACTCTCAGCCTGCATTGGCCCACAACACTGGACTCTTTTCTTTTTCTTCTCAAACAGAACCATCAGCGGACCTGTTGACAGGTTCGTCATGGGCCACGACAGTAGAAGGACCACAGAACTTTCAAGATTTCTCAGACAATGGATCCGCCCATTCCGGAGAAGCCGAGGAGTTTATTTTCACATCTGGCCATGCTACGCCCCGAGGAACCAGGGTGCCTTCCCAAGGAAACTGGTCCACATCCAGGACTACCGCTTCTGTGACCCAAGGTGGACAAGCCATGTCCAGGGTGAGCTCAAGCAGGTCTAGCGGCTCTTCGCTGTCACAATCATCACATCTGTCCAGCATGGACTTCACAGGTAATGCTTCCGCTCTTCAGACTGGAACCCAGACCGGTGCTACCTTGCATGGGATTGATACTTGCCTCCTGGACCCCACCGATGGTATTACGAACCAGATGTACTGGCCCGGTTACTCCCTTGACGGTGGACTAAACGGTGATGCTACCTTTTCTCTTCCCGATGCCAACCCTCTGCATGTCGTTCCCTCTCACATGCAGCTCGGTCCTGATGTTTCCCTGGTCGAGAACTCTCCTCCCAGCCCTTGGGACTGCTTTTCTAGCTCCATCTCTCGATCATCTTCTCCCAACACTATTGAGGATTTGTGGTTCCCTAACCAGAGTCCAAACTCATCTCCTGAGATTCAGTGCCAGTCACCGAGGTACGTAGCCCCCAACCGCATAGTGACCCCTGATCCGGTTTCTTACCAAGTCGACCGTTCTAGCCTGGATCGGAACCTCCCTTTGATATCTGAAGATGCCAATGGAAAGGCCATGCCCACTTTTGACGAGCTTCCTGCTGCCACCTCTGCCTTCACCGGTCCACGACGACAGAACAGCGATGGTGAGTCAGCTCGGGACCATGACCTATACAAGAAGGCCGCTCCATACGAGGATGGACTTTACCACTGCCCATGGGAAGGACAACCAAGCTGCAACCACCGACCCGAGAAGCTAAAGTGCAACTATGAGTAAGAATTAGAATTCTATTCAATGAGACAATGTATACTGACTGAGCTAGCAAATTTGTGGACTCCCACTTGAAGCCCTACCGCTGCAAGGCTGAGTCGTGCGAGGGCGCCCGCTTCTCGTCGACTGCTTGCCTCCTCCGCCATGAACGTGAGGCCCACGGACTCCATGGTCATGGAGACAAGCCTTTCCTCTGTGTTTATGAGGGCTGTGAGCGCGCCGTTCCTGGAAATGGATTCCCTCGCCAGTGGAACTTGCGTGACCACATGAAGCGTGTTCACAACGACCACGGAAGCTCCAGCGGCTCACCTACAACTGGATCTGCTCAGCCTGCTAAGGGACGTAAGCGCAAGACTGAGACTGCCGAGGCTCAGACTTCCAACAGCCGCAAGGCGACTGTCAAGTCTATGCCTCCTCCCCCGGAGCCCAAGGAGAACATGACCCAGCCCCTCATTGACCAGTGGATGGAGCACCGCAAGGCTGTGGAGAGCCTCATGCGAAACCTCATCAAGCCTGAGGATACCCAGAATCTCCAGCACATCGGAACTCTCCAGAACCGTCTGGGTTCCATGATGAAGCTCACCAACGACCTCAATGCCATCAACAACCCAGGAAACACGCTGGTTGGCACTGGCTGAATGATTTGTAAGTAGTTGTCTGGACGTATAGACCTGATCAAACTAACCATATGTCAGACATGCGAGTCTTGTCTGCTACCGAAAAACACCGAAATTGATTTGTGCAAGTGCACAGGCAGAGAAAAGAAGTCCGTCTAATATAGAGACAAATTCTGAATCTCGAAGACGTCCCAAGGAACGGGCAGTGATGCCATTGATCTACGGCAGAAGGACATGTCCAGCCCAGTAGACTCTTTCCTAGGAACGGATGCACTGCATTACAACCGGAATCCATCAATCCAAGGACAAGGACCACAGATGTCAACCAAAGGATTGCGCTATCACTGCGCCAGGATGATAACAGAGTCCCTGTTACGGGAGAAACACCAAGGACTTCAGAGTCGAGCTTAGAAGAAAAAGGGGGGACGTCGCGAGGATGACAACAGACACATCGATCACTCTGATATGAGTTTGATACAGATTTCACAGTGAGCAAGTACAACAACAACAACAGATGGCCCTTGACAACAGAAAAGGGTAGCAGATTTAGACACTTTGTTTGGGAGGAATTTTGATATTGATAGCATCGCTGCAGATAGGATTTGAGTTCAATCGATTTTTTTCTTAGAAGAGTCTGGTAACATGTGGGTGTAATTGTGCAAACGTTTTTGAGAATGGCCTGACATAGTTACGGCGTATGGGTCGACAGTATTCATAGCCCGACTAAGTGACATTGTCAAACGGAACAGGGCCATTTTCTTATCCATGTACATGGTTTCAAGGTCCGAGATTCATTGCAGATACATCGTAGATGCGGTATCCAAGGGCGAGAAACAAGTCAAGATCAGCGGTGAAACCTGTAGTTTTTCGGGAGAATCAGGGCCATGGTATCCGGGACCAGATCGTGGGGATAGTGAATGCAGCTCCTCCGTTTCGGGATTGTTTTCCCCTCCACTGCCTCCGTGGTTGAGGCTTACCTTACTCACCCCGCGTCACCGGAACTGTAGAGATTATGATTTATAGAGGTCAAGGTCGATAGATGACACGACAACTGCGTTGAGTAGCTCCGAGATGTCGGCTCGGTCACGGTCTCGGTGGTTTCAGCACATAGCATCCAATCCATCTCGTACATTAGTAGTCAAGGTTGCTAGTTAGTGGAGGCCAATGGTGGCTGTTAGGGTCCTTGAGCCTCCACTATGACGCTACTGCGTTGGATCAGCCAAAGGGAAAAAAAGAAAAACGACACGGCAGAGAACCGTCTGGAAGTCTTTTGGTTTGGTCTGTATATATGTCACATCAAATTGCGTTACTGGGTAGTGATTGACGGACAAGTGGATGAAGGAGAGAAACGGAGGGGCAGCGTATAAGGAACGGTAACAAGCTCCGAGCTCTGCCGCATGGAAGAGAGAGGGTCAAAGTGTTCCTGTAAGTGCTATCTGGGTGTTGAGCTACCTATTACCTATAGAGGGAATATGAATGAACTGGCTGCTCTGACCAGGAATACACATACTATGGTGTCATTGTACTCTATTATCCCCCTGACAATCTACTAAATCCAAAACTGAATCCATTGATCCATATCCTGGTTATCTGTCGATAATTCATGACCTGACTTGATCTGGCCTGAGCGGCCCAACTTAAAGTACAACCTACCTACTAACCTTACCCACCATGAGACGGGGACCTAGGTAGCTGAGCTACTAATATCCATTACTGAGGGACTATCTACATAAGGTAGCTTTCCCCAACTCAAAACACCACTTCTCATTCTTCATCTGCCTCAATTTTTCCTCGCCTAAGTCCATCTTCTCTAAAACATCATTTCACATTAATACTCACATCATGGCTCGCAAGTTCTTCGTCGGCGGCAACTTCAAGATGTAAGTTTCTACCCCACCATAGCAAGCTGCTTCGCTCTGCTCTTCAGGTCGATCGATTTTCTTGCTGCCCCTCCCCCTCCATGAAGCAAAAAGGCCGCAGATATTTCTTGGAGTCGCTCAGAAGCTTACCTTGATTCTCTATAGGAACGGCTCCAAGTCGTCTATCAAGGAGATTGTCGATAACCTCAACAACGCTGATCTCGACAAGAACGCTGGTACGTCACTCTTCTGTTCCCCTGCCCCGCGCATCATCCCGGTTGCTCAACAGAACCCCTTCACTCCTTTTGCCGGGGCGACATCAACTAACATGCTCGCAGAGGTTGTTGTCTCTCCTCCTGCCATCTACCTCCCTCTCGTCCGTGAGACCCTCCGCAAGGACATCGAGGTCGCCGCCCAGAACGTCTTCAACAAGCCCAACGGTGCCTTCACCGGCGAGATCTCCGTCTCCCAGCTCAAGGATAGCGACATCAACTGGGTCATCCTCGGTCACTCTGAGCGTCGTGAGATCCTCGGCGAGTCTGACGAGACCATCTCCTCCAAGACCAAGTACGCCACTGAGAACGGCCTCAAGGTCATCTGGTGCTGCGGCGAGACCCTCGAGACCCGTGAGGCTGGCAAGACCATCGACTTCGTCTCTAAGCAGCTCGAGTCCCTCAAGTCCCAGATCTCCGACTGGTCCAACATTGTCATTGCCTACGAGCCCATCTGGGCTATCGGCACCGGCAAGGTTGCTACCACTGAGCAGGCTCAGGAGGTCCACAAGGCTATCCGTGACCTCCTCCGTGGTATCAGCGACAAGGTTGCTGACGAGACCCGAATCCTCTACGGCGGCAGTGTCAACGAGAAGAACTGCGGCGAGCTCTCCAAGCAGCCCGATATTGACGGTTTCCTTGTTGGCGGTGCTTCTCTCAAGCCTGCTTGTAAGTCGTCCTCATATGCTTTTAATGGCACGTGCTAACTGATACTTCTAGTCGTCGACATCATCAACGCTACCAAGCAGTAAATGCATGACTTCAAAAGTAAAAAGTCTTGTTCCCCTGAGGTCTTTGACACCTTGACATAGGAACAGATAGATAGATGACGAATGAAACAAAAATGATTATACCCATGAATAATCGGCTATGATTCTATTATAAGAGAAAGACTTTCCTCAAGTGAATCTGGAACTTTGAACTATCACAAGAAACGGGGGAGAACCTTGCTAGAGCATAGACGTTCAGCCAGCGGTGAAGATGAGAAGCAGTTGTCATTCATGCCCCTCACATCATGGAGATCTTGCTCTAAATCGTACAAATTTCCTCGCAACCCAATGCCACAAGCAGGCCCAATATTGTTTACAAAACACACAAATGTACAGAAAACCCAATTTTAGAAGCCAGCTCTTAAACAACCATTCCCTTGCCGTGGTATGGGGACCAGACGCCACGCACACTTGGTTGAGCGCTGTTGACGGCTTTGTTGTAACGTTTCAGCTTCTCTCCGCTAGCATCACGCAATAACTCGGCCTTCTGAAGGATTTCGTATGGTGATAGGTTTCGTACGCAGATAGGCTTAGTTCGACCGTTGATGTAGTGACCGACAACGACGGGGTGCTTTCCGGGTCGAGGGGAGATGGAGAATTCGACTTGAGGGTTGGCGGCGGCGAACTTGGGGAGAAGAGACTTGATGAAGCCACTATTATCAGGTAAGGCAATGCTGAGAAGATTGGGAGTGTTTTTTTTTACATACTTCATACCCTTGGAGCTACCGGCCCAGTCACAGTAGTAGAAGTCCAACTTCTTGCACTGGAGGATAAATGCGCCGAGGCCATTCTGCAGAGGTCAGCACTTATAGCTCCAAGACATCTTCACATTGAACATACCTGGCCCTTTGCTATTTGTCTTATCGCCTTAACAGTCATTTTTGTGTGGCCGTATCAAGTACCAAAATGATCCGATAACAGCCAGAAAGAATTGACGTGCTGAGAGGCTATCACCAGAAAATCAGCTCTCAGCGGAGTGTGCCCCATTTCGGTTTAGTTTGGGTCGGCAGAACATCGGCTGGCAGAACGCCTCAGCGGCTGCAAGGCATCCCTCGAGTCCAAAGGAGGCTCAAGGATTAATTTCCCCCACGAACAAACGCGCGACAACTTCAATTAAATTCCGCCCATTCTCGGCTCTCCTGTCTGTCCTTTATCGCTGACGCTCGCCTATTCATTCTCGGCTAATAACTTCATCTGTCGCTCCTTTCACCCTGTTGGACTTGAGATAGTGCCATGACCGACAAGCTCCCTCCCAACCTGCTCGCGCTCTTCGCGGCGCGACCACCTCTGCGATTCCTCGAGCCGCCCGATCATGCGCCTCAACACCGCACGACAGCCCCCATCACCGGTGTCGCACAGTTTCTCCCGGAACTCCAGAAGTACAAGGAAACTGATGTTTACAACCCCACTGAGAGTTGGTTGCAAGCCCGCGATCGCAAGAAGCGAGAGAAGAAGGAGAAGCTGGAGACGCTCCTCAGAGAAGCGCCCGATCATCGTCAGGAGGACCATAAATTCCACTACAAAACAAATGCTAACGTGACTAACAGATAAGCCAAACGAGGACCCCAACGTTCGTGGCGATGCGTTCAAGACTTTGATGGTCGCGCGTCTCAGTTACGATGCTGATGAGAGGGATCTCGAGAAAGAATTTGGTCGCTACGGCCCCATCGAGCGTGTATGCAATCGTCATTAAAATATCGCACAGCCAGAGACTGACACCACCACAGATTCGTATCGTTGCCGATACTCACGCTCACGAGAAGCCAAACAAGAAGAAGAAGCCTCATCGAGGTTATGCTTTTGTCGTATTCGAACGAGAGAAAGATATGCGAGGTAAATATGAACCCTTCCCCTTCTGACTAGCCATTTGTATTCTTCCCTGGATGTATCTTTTGAGTTGTGGCCCTCAAGCTTGCCCTTCTCACGGATTATATGCGAGACACCAAAGGGCCCTCAAGCTTGCCCGTCTCTGCTTCTTCCTTTTCTTTTGTCAAATCCGTCAGCACACAAGGTACTATTTAGGGTAAGATTGACTGACACCTGCGCCATTCGGCGCAATTATGAGCAGCGGCCTTAGATGCCTGTGATGGTATGCGCATCAAAGATCGACGTATCAAGGTAGACGTCGAACGCGGCAGAACTGTCAAGGGCTGGAAACCTCGCCGACTTGGTGGTGGCCTCGGAGGGCGAGGCTACACTAGAGCTGTGGCTGCTCGTCCCATGGGTCCCGGTGGTTTTGGCGGCGGTGGCGGTTTCCGTGGTGGCTTCAAGGGTTTCGACGGAGGACGCGGCCGCGGTGGTTTTAGAGGAGGATTCGGCGGTCGTGGAGGAGGATTCCGAAGCGGCGACCGAGGCGGCGACAGGGGCGGTGATCGAGGCGGCTACGGCGCACCTAGTGATGCCCCGTCCGGCCCTGGATTCGACCGCAGAAACGGCGGCGGTGGCTATGGTGACCGGGACCGTGGCGACCGAAGGGGTGGAGACCGAGGCCCCGGTGGGTATGATTCTCGTAGCGGTGGTCGCTCATTTGACGACAGACACGGCGGCGGCCATCGTGACGGTGGCCGATACGGCGGAGAACGCGAGAACCGACGCACCGGAAGTAACATGGAACCCATCGGAGGCCGACGAGAAGGTGGGTATCGCGAACAACGGGACCGAGACTACGACAGACCCCGTGATGAGGATGGTGGCCGAAAGCGTGGCTATGACGGCGGCTATGAAGATCCTCGAAAGCTTCGTCGTTATTAACGGAGTAACTCTCCATGACCTTGTGTGGTGGGTTGCCGATCTTCTTTCAGTCATTAATTCAGACCCCTTTTCCACCAAAGGAAGGGTAAGCACACCATTATCGCCAAACCTCGGATCTTGAGGATTCACGATTATACGATACACCTCTGTCGGATAACGCTCGTCGGATTTCACTTTTCTGCTGTCATTATTTAACCAGCCGACATGACAGTCAACTTGGTTTGAGGCATCATCCACCGGTACATCCATATGAACTCGGGTTTACACAACGTGTCAGGTAACCTTTCTATGTATTCTATTTGCTTTTTTGGGAGTCGGGTTAAAATCTGGAGGGTTGTTCGATGGTGAATTGGCCATTTTATGCTACATAAAGGGTAAGACTCGGTGACCCACTCCGTACTGACCCTCGAGATGTTGCCTAGGCTGGCTAAGAAGGCCGACTCTGATGTATCACTTAGGAGTTTTCATGTTCAATAATATTTAAGAAAAGAAGCGAATCTTGTGAATGTTGTGAAGTACGTATTGTCATTTGGGCGGGCCTATTGGTAAAACATGATGCCCTTCCATATCCCATGGCCCTCAACGCCGAGATCCCATAAAAATTTCATGCTGGTATCAGTCATTCAAACAGAAGATGTTAAACCCAACGTCTAGCACCATTTTGTATGCCGTATCCTAGGCTCATCTAATTCTCATCCATAGCGTTGGGGTTAACCTCTGTCACCTCAGAGCTAGCGGCGTTCCAGTACCTAGATCATGTTAGTTTTTTGTTCTTGTGCTGAGTTGATACTTCAGAGAGGAGCTTTAACTTACGCTAACACCTTGACCTTGAATTCGCTCAAGCATACGTCGAAAAGCTTCAGCAATCTTGTCTGTCGTGAATCCAAAACATCACCCTCCTTGCAAACAACATACTCCTCGCCCTGACCAGCCTCATCACCGAGAACGACACGGCCCTTGACCATACGGGTAGGGACACCAAGACGTCGCAGCTCCGGCTCGATGGTGTGTTCGAGAGGAACATCGTGCTCAGCGGGAACCTCACCGGCGGTAGCATAGACGACACCGGTAGGAATAGAGAAATCGCGGGTGGCCACAGCGCCGGCGCGGGCAAAGTCGACAGGGGCGAGGTTCTCAAAGTAAGAGAGGATTTCTTCGACAGGGCGGTTGGTCAAGATCAGGCCGACAGTACCGGTCAAATAACGGCTAAGGTCCTCAATTCCAGGGGCGATTGCCTCCTCGGGTGTCTGGCCAAGAGCCTTTGCCATGAGCTTTGTCTTTCCGAAGAAGAGACTAGGGAGAATTAGCTGCGATCAAGATGCTTACACAGAGAGGCATTACCGGCAATCGGACAGCTCACGTCGGACGTCCTTGAGATGGTTGTTTCGCATATTATCGACGCTGAAGACAAAGCAGTTCTGGTACTCGGGGACAGTATCGCGGATGTTCTGGAAAAGCTTGTCCTTGTTCTCGCGCGTCTTCTTAGAGACCTGTGTGAGGTGAACAACCTTTGCGCGCTTCGACTTGGGCATTTTGGCGGTATGATTTGTTGATAAAAGGATTCAAAGGTGATTCTAAAAGGGGCGAGATCGAAGGAGGATTGAGAATCGAAAGTTTTGGTCGGTGGTTATGGTTTGAACGGGACTTGAGATCTCAATGCCTGCTACAGAAGGCGGCTGTCCACTGGATTTTTTGCTTTCTGCGATAAAAATTTCGAATGGGCGAGCTATCTTATCAGTTGACCCCGCAATTTTGCTCACCGAGGCAGGGGTCCAATCGCTCACCCAAGGTGTACTAATCCGGTAATTTCGGGCAAGATCAATACAATAGCATTAAAGTAAATCAAATCCAAGTAATGGATTCCGCTTCTTTGTTTGCCAGTTTCTTGGGTTTAACTAACTCGAAAACAGAAATTATCAAGGACCAAGATTGATCACCTTAGCCAATCCAAGATACTGGATGGGCTATGTTGAAGGGATTGTATCAACGTGATAAGATGTAGCAAAAAGCAGGGAACAGACACTGTTGCCGGTCAATGTTGTTACAGCCATCTTCTGCCAAGCACTAACTTATGACCTTGCAGTAAAGTCTCACCTGGGGTCAGCTGTTTAACTGAATATAGATGTAATGCGTGCAGCTGGGCTAAGAAAATGAAGTTTGGAAGTAGGGTGATACTGATCTCGAATCTTTCTATATTCAATCGACAGTCGTTGGTTAATATCCAGAAGCAGGTAGTGAATATTCAGAATGAGGCTATCGCCAAAAAGCAAAGTGAAGTGAATTGCCATGGAGCCGTTTAACGTCAGATACCACACCAATTATCTTCGAGTCTGCAATGCTGCAATGACAGGGTTGTATGCTAGAACGCTACATAATGGTGACATAAAGATCCCTGAAAAAACTAGCGATATAGTTGAGATATCCCGAAAAGTTTAGGTGAGTTTGATCTAACTCGGTACTGCAAGCGCTCCAGATACTTTAGTATTGAGCTAACATAAGAATTTGTTCTTTTGTATGGTCGCAAATTATAAAGGTAGCTGATGCTTGCGGTCGAGTTTCGTCGAGACTTGGCGTCTTTCGGGAAAACTATTACACACTTCCCGTGCCGAAGACAGAATCGTGAAAAAGAGGGAAAGAGAACAAGACAGATGACGCACAGACCACCTTCTAGTTGGAGCAGCCGGGAGCTCTGAAGTCGTTTTCTTACTGGAGCCACACAAACACATCACACATTGTCCAAACATCTCTTTCATCCCAATTGCAGAGCCCCGTAAACAATTCGACTCCTCCCTCTCCTAACCCTTCTCCATCTCGGTTTCTAGCTAATTGAAGCTCTACCTCTCCCCACTATCTTTTCCATTTCTCACTTTCAAGTCCCGTAACTCTCGATCTCTTCTCCGATCCCGAAGTTTGACCTCGCCACCCCTCACGTCTTTGCCTTCCAACCACGAACCCTCGACTCCATTTTGTCATCAGGCTTGCCCTATTCTGCTTGCTTGCTTGGACTCGATTCAACCCAGCTCCAGCCACATCACTTCAATCTCGACCGAACACGATCCTCGTCTTGAGCCTGAACCCCTAACATCAGGCTCTGTTTCTTCGACGTTTTCACACCCTCGTTCGACCCGTTTCCGCGACACTGAGAGCTCGCCGGTTGCGCACCCAGCCTAATTTTCGCTCCGAATTACACTCGTCATATCAAACTTCACACCACAACACACAGCCATCATGGCCTCCAACGGTAACTTCACCCAACAGGATCAGTACAAGGAACCTGCCGACCAACAACAAACAGCTCCTACTACCTCTGCTGCCGATGGCTCTGCCACCGCTGCCGCTTCTGCCACCAACAACCCATCCAAGGATGAGGTTGGCTGGTATTTCGTGGAACAATTCTACACCACCCTGAGCAAGTCGCCTGAGAAGCTTCACGTATGTTCACTCCGTTGCCAGTGCCCTTTCTTCATACTAACGACCTTGATAGCTTTTCTATGGCAAGCGCTCGCAATTCGTCTATGGTCGCGAAGCTGAGGTTGCCAAGGTCTCTGTTGGCCGACAGGTAAGTTAAGATGGAAAAGGAACACCTGGATTGGTTGCTAACAGCATAACAGGACATTCAAGAACGCATCAAGAACCTAGACTTCCACGACTGCAAGGTCAGGATAACCAATGTTGACTCCCAGGCTTCCTTTGAGAACATCGTCATCCAAGTGATTGGCGAGACTTGCAACACTAACAAAGCACCCAAGAAGTTCGTCCAGACCTTTGTCCTTGCCCAGCAACCCTCTGGCTACTTTGTCCTCAATGATATCCTGCGATATATCGATGACGAGAGCGATGATGAGTCTGCTGCTGCCTCTGAGGAGCCTGCCGAGGAGCCTGCCGCTCCCGCCACGGAGGAACCTGCTGCCGCTGCCGAGCCCGAGGCTCCTCAGTCTGTCGAGGAAACCAAGGAGGAGGCCCCTGCCCTCGATCCCGAAGTTGTTGATCAGAAGCTTGAGGAGGTTTCCACTTCTAAGGACAGTGTGACTCTCAACGGCAACAACTCCGAGGAGTCTGAGGCTAAGGACCTTGAGACCAAGCCTGAGGATCCCGCCGAGACCGCTGACGAGGCTGCTAAGGAGCTTGCCGAGGAAGACGTGAAGGAGCCCGAGAAGCCTAAGGATCCTAGCCCTACACCCGTTTCCAAGCCTGTCGCTCCTCCTCCTGCAGCTCCCGAGAAGCCTGCAGCTCCTCCTAAGCCCATGACATGGGCCAGCCGAGCTGCCGCTGCCCTTCCCAAGCCTGTTGTTCCTCTCCCCAAGACTACTACTCCTCCCGTGAACCAGAGCCGTGCTCCCGCTCCTGCTGCTGCCGCTACTTCTCAGCCCGCTGCTGCTCCTGCTGCCACCTCTGCCGCGCCCGCCACTGAGTCCGCTGGTAAGGATGCGGCTGGATGGCAGACTGCAGGCAGTGACTCTAAGCGACAGAACCGACCTCAGTCTGTTTCTGGACCTCCTGCTGATAAGGAAAGCACCACCGTATACGTTAAGTTCGTCACGGATAAGGTCCAGGATGCAGACCTCAGGAACGCTTTGACTGCTTTTGGCGAGCTGAAGAGCCTTGATATCATCCGCCAGAAGGTATGTTCAGATCCTCTACTACAAGACTGCCGTTAAAGCTAACATGGCATAGAACTGTGCATTCGTTGAATTTAAGACCCCTGAAGCCTCCAAGGCTGCGGTTGCTGCTAACCCTCACACCATTAACGGCGAGACTATCATGGTCGAGTCCCGTCGCAACAAGCCCGGTGCCAATAACGCTGGTGGCCGAGGCCCCGTTTCAGGACGTGGCCGTGGTGGTGCTGAAGGCGGACGATCCGGCGGCCAGGGCCCCCGAGGCAACTTCTCTGGTCAAAACCGTGGCCGTGGTGGTGCTCCTCGCGGCCGTGGTGGTGCCCAGTCCCATAATGCTTAAGCAACAGCGACTGGTATATATAAAGTGGCAATGACCAGACTTTCACACCAGTAGTCTGTCTTGGTTTTGCTATCCAGGCCCTGGACCGACCAGGATCCCAAATCGAAGTAATCACAACTAATCTACGTGATATACATAACCATTCAAACATCAACATGAGGGGACGACAACAGAAAACAAGCTCAGCAGATGGTCAGGGGGAGCGGTAAGGGAGCGGAGTTTGGTATTCCCTTTTGGAGGAAGGATGGAGTTGGGAATTTGGAGTCATATTTGTTCGTTTTTCAGTTTCGGTGGTTTGCGCGCTGCATCTGCATCTGATCCTCTCAGCCGGCGATTGGGTTACGGACTTCAGCGAAAACAGGGGAAAGGTCCTAGGCTGGGAGCTTTGATTTGGCATCATTACTTTCTAATGACCGTGTACATTCTTACAAAAGCGAACGGACGGGCGATAGAGGTGTCAGTACCCGGATGGGCAAGAGGACGACGACGGGTATACATACTCACGAAGCAGTGACAGTTGACGATGATGGACGAGAGTCCAGGCCTATGATGAATGAGTAGGCCTGGAGGGACCATGTTCTGTACTTTTTACTGTGCAAGTAGTAATGATCAGTAACTTTTTGGTTTCCAATGTTTGAGTCGAGCTACCAGATCAGATCAGATCAGCAAGTGAGTGCAGAATTTTCATATGAGGTTAACGTTTTCATGTCATGTCATGTGAGGCAGGTAACGTAGCATGCTGAAGATCCAGGACAGGAGGGGCATGACGGTCATGATATCCAGTATCGGTCTAGAAGGTCCCGTAGAAGCAATGTTGCTGTTGCTCGTCTTGTATATGCGATGATATCCGAAGTTAAGCTTGCAGAGCCTCGTGGATCAAACAGGTCGAACGGTTCGTCGCATAAGAAATTATTGTTAATGATGGACGTTGGTCAAGGTTCTTTTGTAACAGGGGAAAGCATTGACAAAAGGCCAAACCAGTTACTGGGGGACTTTTGAACGAGAGAGGATACCCACGCGTAATAGTTACTATGCAAAGAGGTAAGGAGAACTTGGTTTTGAATCTATCGACGGTCAAAGTTGCACGTGTTCGTGTAATAGACACCGCGATTTGATTCTATCCATTCGGTTCGTCGGAGACTATCCCGAATAGCCAGGGCGTGTCCTATTATTGTACACAAGGTCAGGTAGGGGAGCTTATTCCGGACACGCCGCACAATGACATGGGGAAACAAAAGGTTCCCCGGGTATTTTTGCGACCTTCTAAAAGCAGACCTCAGGGAGAAAAAAGAACAGTCAATATTATGTGAGGGAGAATTTCTGGCGATGGGACGATGCAAGCAAGGTCCTTGCCGAGAGATCCGGGGAGTATCGTTATTATTATCCTGGGCGATCAGTTCAGTTAATTTGCTATGGAAATATCTGAGACAGCGGCTTGAGCTGATCACATTTTTCGTTGGGATTGTTTTAGGAGTAAAGGTTGCAGCCAAGACGGGAGAGGATCATCCATGGAGTGCTTGTTCTGTAAGCCTGTAGGCTTGGTTTACGATACATGAATCACGTAAATACATACGTG